CCCCAGTGGGGGTGTTCGCATGCGGTTCCCCCACCCAGGGCAGCGTTTCGTGGCCCCATAGGGAGCTCCACCGAAGGCCCCAGTGGGGGTGTCCACATGCGGTTCCCCCACCCAGGGCAGCGTTTCGTAGCCCCATAGGGAGCTCCACCGAAGGCCCCAGTGGGGGTGTCCACATGCGGTTCCCCCACCCAGGGCAGCGTTTCGTAGCCCCATAGGGAGCTCCACCGAAGGCCCCAGTGGGGGTGTCCACATGCGGTTCCCCCACCCAGGGCAGCGTTTCGTGGCCCCATAGGGAGCTCCACCGAAGGCCCCAGTGGGGGTGTCCACATGCGGTTCCCCCACCCAGGGCAGCGTTTCGTGGCCCCATAGGGAGCTCCACCGAAGGCCCCAGTGGGGGTGTTCCACATGCGGTTCCCCCACCCAGGGCAGCGTTTCGTAGCCCCATAGGGAGCTCCACCGAAGGCCCCAGTGGGGGTGTTCGCATGCGGTTCCCCCACCCAGGGCAGCGTTTCGTGGCCCCATAGGGAGCTCCACCGAAGGCCCCAGTGGGGGTGTTCGCATGCGGTTCCCCCACCCAGGGCAGCGTTTCGTGGCCCCATAGGGAGCTCCACCGAAGGCCCCAGTGGGGGTGTCCACATGCGGTTCCCCCACCCAGGGCAGCGTTTCGTCCCCATAGGGAGCTCCACCGAAGGCCCCAGTGGGGGTGTCCACATGCGGTTCCCCCACCCAGGGCAGCGTTTCGTAGCCCCATAGGGAGCTCCACCGAAGGCCCCAGTGGGGGTGTCCACATGCGGTTCCCCCACCCAGGGCAGCGTTTCGTAGCCCCATAGGGAGCTCCACCGTAGGCCCCAGTGGGGGTGCCCGCATGCGGTTCCCCCACCCAGGGCAGCGTTTCGTGGCCCCACAGGGAGCTCCACCGAAGGCCCCAGTGGGGCTGCCTGCATGCGGTTCCCCCACCCAGGGCAGCGTTTCGTAGCCCCATAGGGAGCTCCACCGAAGGCCCCAGTGGGGGTGTTCGCATGCGTCTCCACTACCCAGAGGTAGCGCCGCCGAAAACGATATTCACACTTGCGGTATTCACAGTTGCATATGGTTGGGTCCTTCGCCAGGCTAATTTTCCCTCGTGACCCACCCTCTCCCCCCCTTGTCACGCGACCCGACCGGTGCCCTCTCCCCATCTGGGTCACGCCCGTGATCGCCGGGGGCTGCGGGTGACCTTGGGTCGAAAAGAAAGGAGGAGAGGAGGTGGACGACGAGGAGACGGAGGAGGAGGAGGAGGAGACGGAGGTGGGGGAGACCGAGGGGAAGGCGAGGGATATCTTTAACACGGTACAAAGGGCAGTGTTTGACCTTGAACCACGGACGAGGAGGAGGCAGACAATGAAGAGGATGGCGCCAGAGAGACTCGCCCCGAGCTGAACAACCAGCTTCCCCGAACGGGGAAGCTGGTTTGTAGAAACATAAAATAGGAAGGCGTTGGAAATAGATTGGGTTTCCGCCCGCCTCCTGAAGAGGAAGGAAGAGGGAAAACCACTCGGCTCTTGAAGTAGGAAGGCGCTGAAAGCAGAGTGGAATCTGGGAATCCAAAAATACCTACTTTCAACGACCGATGGGTGAAGAGGATGGCGCCAGAGAGACTCGCCCCGAGCTGACAAACCAGCTTCTCCGAACGGGGACGGAGTGTCCAGGCGCGCATCTGCCACGACTCCTCTCGGATGGCCTGGGCGATTGGCCCCACCGGCCCGCCCGCTGCGGGGCCCAACCCCTCCCTCCGCTCCGGCCGCTCCGCCCTCGGGGCGCCAGCGGCGAGGCAAGGGAGGCAGGGAGAGGAGGTGCGCGCCTGTCGCGGCAGCGCGCAGCCCGCACCACTACAGTCGGGGCGTTGACCTGAGGAACCCAAAACAAGGAACGAGGCCCCTTTTTCCCATCACTTAAACTTCGATGTCCCATGGAAAACCTGAGGAAAACGCAGGGCAAGCTGTAAAACCATCAAGGAACACCGAGCCCCTCCCCAACGACAAGGGTTCCTTCTTCAGCGCCCCGACTGTACCCCGCACCCTCCCACATGCCCCCCCCCCCGCCGGCCTCCGCCTACACTGAGGAGTGTCCAGCCTCAAGGGTCCAGGAGGGCTCGAAGGCCCTCGAACGTCTCCGTGTCCCTGCTCCTCCCATCTCACCCTGCTCATCCTCGCCTCCAACTCTTCGACCTCGCCAGCAGCAGCGACGAGTCAAACTTCTGCGTCCGCTCTCGCAGGCGTGGGATCCACCTTTGCAACACCCTGGCCCCTGCAAACGCTCCCTCCCGTAGCACAACTGCACCACTCCAGTGCACGACCACATCCAATGCACCCTTCCCCACTGTTCACAGAAGGATGCAGGATCGAGCGAAGGGGGGAAATGCGAGTTAGATAATTGCCAGGGGGCTGGTGTATGTGATGATTTCTGGTTCGAAACTTGCAGTGGCAGCCTCGTTCTTGCCGCCGGCGGCGTCCCCCTCAGCCTGACGCGGAGGTCACAAGAGGGCGCAAATGAAGTTGCCACAATAGCACGGTACGATCAATAATCCTTGCAAAGGACTGACTCCGAACACACCACTCCCGCACACGCAGGTCAATCGTGCAAGTAAAATGCCACATGATATGGAATTAAAGCACGCACCATGCAGTCAAGCAGCCGATACATCTCAGCGATGAAAGTCCGCAGCTGCGCGCTGACAAACAAACTCACGACCCAGCAAAGAAAGCCTCCTCCGCCCGCCACGCCAAGCCGCTCATCCAAAGCCGTATGGCGCGGCGACCTTGTTCCTTCCAGCCGCAGGCAGAGTTGAACGATTTATCGCAGGACCTTCTTCGGGGCCACCTTTCTCTTGGCAAGCTTTGATGCTCTAGGGGGCAGCCCTTGCTGCACTCTAGTCGACGGGGAGCCCAGGCGACGAGGAGCCCAGCTGTGACAACGAGGAGCCTCCATGGGGCCAGCTGATAAAACAAAAAAGATCGTGCCTCCGTCCTCGAATCTCGGGCGTCGAAAGCCTGGCGCGCAACCTCGTCCCGCTCGTCCTCCTCCGTGCCCTCCCCCTCCCGCCTGCGACCCCCGACGGGGGAAGCGAGGGGTGGTGGAGGAGAAGGGCGCGGGAGGACGGGGACGGGACGGGGGTGAGCAGGCAGGAGGAGATGGACCTTCAGACCACAAGCACAGATTGACATGCTTGCGGTTGGCGCTGAATTTTTCCGAAACAAAGCACACTCACAGCAACAACGACATCAACAACAGCAATCATTTTAAGACTGTTCGCTCTTATCTGCTCGAATGTCCGTTGAGGCGTAGTTCCCAAACCCTGGATACCCGCCCTCTTCGTCTTCGATCGTACCCCTTTTGGGGGGTATACCTTTCTTCCCTGCAGGCCGGGCCCCGGCAAGCGGCGGGGCGGCCGCGGACTGTCGGCCTGGCCAGCGGCAGCGCTAATCGGTGGCAGCCCGACCCCAAGGGGGACGGACAGGGGACCGACCACGAGGACGACGACGACGTCGTCGACCACGACGGCGACGACGACGACGACGACGAGCGAAAGCGAGAGCGAGAGAGAGAACGACAGCAGGGCCACGAAAGGCACGAAGTAGACCACGAAGGGCGACAGCGGGGACACGAAGGGAATGCGTATGGGGCCACGAAGGGCGCGAACGAGCGGGGGGCCACGAAGGGCAAATATTAGGGACACGGAAGGCAACGACGGGGCCACTGAGGGCAGCAACGGTACCACGTAGGACAGCGAGGGGGCCACAAAGGGCGACAGCGGGGCCACGAAGGGCATGCACATGGGGCCACGGCGGGCGCGAACGAGCAGGGGCCACGAAGGGCATACGTATATTGGGCCGCGGAGGGCAAGCACGGGGCCACTGAGGGCAGCAACGGGGCCACGAAGGGCAGTGAGGGGGCCACGAAGGGCGACAGCGGGGCCACGAAGTGCATGCATATAAGGCCACGACGGGCGCGGACGAGCGGTAACCACGAAGGGCATACATATATGGGACCAAAAAGGGCAGCGTTGGGGGCCACGACGGGCTGCAACGGGTCCACGAAGGGTAGCGATGGGGCCACGAAGGGCTGCGAGGGGGCCACGAGGGGCTGCAACGGGGCCACGAAGGGCAGCGATGGGGGCCACGAAAGGCTGCGACGGGGCCACGAAGGGCAGCGAGGGGGCAACGAAGGGCTACACCCGATTCCTAAATAATGTGTGAGGGAGTTATAGGCGTGAGCGCGACTCCTGAGCGCCTGAGTGTCGGGAGTGCGGCGCTTGAATAAATTACAAGATTTTCCAACGCAAGGGCGTTATTCTTGAGTAAATTGCAAGCACGTCTCCAGCGAGAGCGCGACTCCAGAGCGCCGAGAGAGCGATTCCTGAATACATTGTAAGGAAGTCCCATGCGAGAGCGCGACTCCTGAATAAAATGCGAGAAAGTCTCAGGCGGGAGCGGGGGTCCTGGCTAAATTGTAAGGAAGTCTCAAGCGGGGGCCGTTGTTGTTGTAACCCGGGGGCCAGGGGCCCAGTTTGAGCTTCAAGACTTTCCCTGATAAAAACCGGGTGCGAGCGCCGGGAGGGGCATTTCATTGGAGAAAGTACAATGTGCACCAGTGGGGGGATCAACAATAATCATTCTTCAGAAATGAGAAGTCAAGAGCAACAACAACAACAGCAGCAGCAGCAGCAACAACAACAACAACAACGGAAGAACGGCTCTTCTGGCCCTGGGACGGGGCCACACGCTCAACGGTCACACCCTGGTGGCGCAATGCACAATCTGGCCCCGCGGGTTATGTGTTAGCGCTCATCGTGTGACGACGACTTATCCCGCCCTGCGGCGGGCCCCCTGCGGCGGCGACGCGCCACAAATGACAAACTTACACTCCGGCCCCACGTCTCGCTTTATCCGACCTGTGACCTCCGCAGAAGCCGCGCTCCGTGTGCTACCGCCTTCTCTGGCACCGTGTTTGCGCTCCACGGGAAACCTCAGGGATCCTGAGGAGTTCCTCGGAATCCTCAGGGATCCTCAGGGATGCCCAGGAATCCAAAGGAAAACTTGGGGATCCTCTGGGCTGCTCACAAGTGCTGTGGAATCCTCAGAGATCCTCAGGGATCCTCAAGGGTCCTGAGGGTCCTTGAGGATTCCTCTGGGCTCCTCGCGAATCCTGACGAATCCTCAGAATCCTTAGACTGTCTGAGGGATCCGTAGAAGTCCGTTCGGCTCCCTACGAGTCCTGAGAAATCCCCAAAGATCCTCAGGGATCCTTCGGAGTCCTGAGAAATCCTTTGGAATCCTCTGGTCCTCACGAGTCCGGATTAATCGTTATACATCCTCCGGGATCCTCAGTGGTTCTGTGGACTCCTCAAAAATCCTTTGGACTCCTCAGGAACTCTGAAGGGGATCCTTAGGAGCACTGAGGAATCCTCAGGACTTACCAGAGAATCCTTCTCAATGAATCCCATCGGATCCCCATGGAACTCAATAGGGTTCCCCCCGAGGAATTCCGCAAGGATCCTAAGGAATCCCATCGGATTCCCCCAAAATCCATCGGGTTCCCACGAAAATGAATTCCATCGGATTCCCCACGAATTGCATGAGATCCCTAAGGAACACCATCGGATTCCGAAGGAACTCCATGGGCCTCCCTCTAAGGAACTCCATAGGGCTCATATGGAATTCCATGGGGTTCGGTAGGAATTCCATCGGATCCCTGTGGAATTCCATCGGGTTCCCAAGGAATTCGATCGGATTCCCCCTGAGGAATTCCCACGGGTCCCCCTAAGAAATCTCATTGGATTCCTCAGAAATTCCATGGGATCCCCTAGGATGTCCATGACATTCCGAAGGCATTCTATGAGATCCCTGAGGGACTCCACAGGATGCCCGAAGGATTCCATGTGACTTCAGGGATTCCATATAATTTCCCCAAAGGAATTGCATGGGACTCCTGGAAAAAACCATAAGACTCATGAAGAACCTCAGGAAACAAACCAGGAGTGCCACCCCCTCCTCCTGCCCCGTTGAAGCCCCTGCCGCCGCCGCCGCCCCAGTGCCTGCACCTCCTCCTGCCCTGTGGAGCAAGCCCGCGGTTTCTGGAGCTCTGCTTACCCTTACTGAGGGCAACGATGGTTTCTGAACAAGAAGAAAAACTCAACAACCAATGCCGGCGGGCCAGTGTCCCCCTTCTTCCGAGCAAGAGGAGGACTAAGATTAAGAAACACATAACAACAGCAATGCTGTTAAGAGTGTTCGCTCTTATGTGCCGGCGGCCCAGCCAACACGTGTACCCCAAACCCTCGATGCCCGCCTTCTTCGCCTTCGATCGTCAGCCCCGCCTCAGGGGATACATCTTTCTTGCCTGCAGCGTGTACTTCGTGCATCCCCTAAGGCAGCAGAAGAGAGGGAGGACACGGGGGGGAGGAGGACGGAGCACGAGAGAGTGTGGCAGGCGGGGGGCTCGGAACAGAGAACACGTGGCAGAACCAGACGGGCAGATCGGGCGGGTAGACCCCAACGGGCGGGTCGGGGAAGCGGGCCCAGAAGGCCCGGTCGAGCAGGCGGGTTGCTGAACCGTGAGTCCTCGATGAAGCGCGAAGAGGGCTCTAGCGATAGCGCTATTCCCAAACGAGTTGCCAGGACATCCACAACGAAAGCGTGATTCCTGAGTGGGGGGCGCAGCGTCTCAATAAATGGCGTGGAAATCCCACGCGAGAGCGCAACTTTTGGATGAATTGAGGGACGTCGCGCGCGAGCCTGATTTCTCAACGGAAATATCAGGTGGGCGCCGTTGTTGTTATTGTTGTCGCTGTTGTAACTCGGGGGCCGGGAGCGCAGTTTGAGGCTCAAGACTTTCCCTGCGAACAAACAGGGTGCGAGCCCAAAGAGGGGCGCTTCAATTGAAAAACAATATGCACCGGGCAGGGAGGACCAACAATGATTATACATCAGGAATGAATCTGCAACAACAACAAGACCAACAAGAACATCAACAACTACTACAACAACGACAACACCAATGCCAACGACAACAACAACAACAACAACAACAATGACACCACCATCGACAGCAACAGCAACAGCAGCAACTGCAGTAGCAACAACAACACCAACAATTACACCACCACCGGCAACAACATTCATGTTAACACTGTTCGTTGTTATCTGCTCGCGTGCTATTCAACACGTATATCCAACAAACCTCGATACCCGCCCCCTTCGTCTTCAATCGTACCCCTGTTAGGGTATATATTTCTTACCTGCAGCATGCATTTCGCGCAGCCCTTCAAGCAGGGAAAGAGAGGACTGACGGATGGAAGGGACGAGGGGTAGGGAGAATGATGGAGCACGATCGAAAGAAAGGGGAAGGGAGGCCACTAACAGAAAACACGGGGCAAAACCAGACGGGCAGATCGGGCGGGTAGACCCGAAGAGGCGGGTCGGGAAGGCGGGCCCAGGCGGCCAGGTCGAGCAGGTGGGTTGC